ACATTGGCGGTAGGGAGAAATGGCCGTGATTCGGCCTCCACCATCTCCCAAAAACTTGGTCCCTCCGTCCCTGCCTCATGGTAAACAACAACTTGTTGATGTAGAATGGAAGGTATGGCGAGACTTTGATGGATCCAGTCCCTTCCGAGTAATGCTTCATAGGTTGAAGTGCAATCCACCATAAAGAACGCCATCATGATTTGTTTGGACCCCAAGTCCACTTCTAAGGGCAATATCCCATGAGTTTTGGTGATAGCGCCCGAGAAGCTTGAAATCGTGAAGTCCGTGGGAATGAGATCTTCTACACATCTCCCCATCTTCTTCATTTGCTTGGCTGGTAGTACGTTAACAACCTCTCCACCATCAATTAAAACCCTTTTGAAGGGCACCCCCTCCAAATGAGCTACGACATATATTGTCTTAAGATGGTTGGCTAGCAATATGTTTGGGCGACTGAATACCATTTTATCTATATAGATCCTTAATGGACTATCTTTGGATATCTCGGATGATTCAGCTTTTCCCAACTCTCTCTCTCTCCAGCTACTTCAACATTGACATGGGCCATCATTGGCTTTGCTGTCAAATAATCACCTTCCATAGTGGCGGGTTGATCAGGCTCGGTACCAAACATGGCAGATAACACATACGTCATGTTGATATGAAACTTGCTAGGCTTTGGAAAGTTTTCTTTCTTACTCCCGATTTGGCCCATAAACTCATTTAACCAGGCTATCGCATCTTTTGGGAGTAGTGGTTCTGGTGCCCCCTTCTGTTGATTTATGCCAGAATCTGGTATCCGCTTTGGCACTTCGCCGAAATGATCCACCAATGATATAAAAGGGAGTCTCTTTTCGGGCGAAACAGTTCCAAAGCAAATAGGTTATGTCCTCTATTCGGGAGTTGGCATCATTATCATATCTTCTTGAGCTCTCCTTAAGATCCTGTACTTCCCAGGGTGTAGGCTTTGTGGTACATGATTTCCTTCACCTTCTGTTTTGCTATTAGCCCTCTCCACCTCTTTTTTACTCCTCTAGTGGAACTGACTACTTCCCCCAGATGATGTTTTTTCAAACTTTTGATTCTTGGAGGCTTCAGATGTCGCGGGAGTCTTTAAAGAGTCCATGTAGGCTTTGTGCTGCCTATAGACCCTTCTAATCATGGAGGCTCCCATTTGTTTGGCGGGTTGCCCATTTTTCCCAACCACGTACCATTTTCGCCCGAGACGGGCAGGATTATCCTTTTTGACAGGATTTGTTATCATATCATTCATTTTGACTTCTTTTCCTGTATGGCCATATTGAGGATGCCCTATCTCCCTTTCTTTTGGACCTTTGGCCTCCTTGTCTTCCGTCTCCTCAGAAGCTTCATGATTTCAAAACACTTCTGATAAAGCTCTAGGTTGGGAATCCCCTCCCAACTGCTGAAAAACACTTCGGGAAGTATCTCTTCCTGCTGTCCGCCTATCTTTCTCACGGACTTATTTTCTTTCTTCTTATTATTTCCTCTTGATCAGCTCATGATCAATGAGGACTTCTGTTGGTGGTATTTCGAGCTCACATTCGCATTGGCATCTACTGCACATAACCATCCCTTTGATTATGGCTACTTTTGGATGTTCGGGCAATTTGATCACCCTTTTGTGGATTTATCCGCCGACCTTTCTTCTTCTGTCTCCCTTGCAACCTTTCCTTTCCCCTTCTCGGCCCATGCTAAATTAATCATATTTACTGGGGCCTCTGAAAAGGGATCTGCATGATTGTCCACCATTGCTTCGACTTGCCCCTGATCTTTCTGTAAGAATATTAATGGGCTAGGTGGATTTTTTACCAAGGTCATTTCTTCATCTGGCTGGCTGGCCTTAAGCTTTTTTCTTTCTTCTTCCCCATCATCTTTTTCCTCAAGTAGAGGTAAAGATATGGGAATAGTTGATCCCATAACCAGGTTTGTTTTCCTTCTGAAGCCTGCGGAGGATTTTTCCAATCTTTGCAACATTTGCAACAAGGTAGTTTGCAAGTCATCATTAATTATTTTTTCTGGAACAGCCGGCCTTTTTAAATCTTCAGGTATTTTTGACATATTTCTTTGACAAGTAAGATTTGATCAAGAGATCCCACCGGGCGTGCCAAAACTATGTTCGTCTGGAGGAATTTTCGATAGGGTCGTTTTCTGGCCGACAAGCACACAGCTCCCCAAGAGGTTGGCGCTGGTTGATATTGTATGTCGGGCTTCTGCTTATTGGCAAGCTGTAAGAGAAGGACAGAGTTAATTCTGAAATGTGCCTTTGTGGGGCCTTAGGTGTAGGCCTTGAGGCTCACAATCAAAATTAATTTTAGGTATTCAGACGTGTCATTGCCATCTTTAGCATGACATATGTAAAATAGATGTTTAGTTTTAATTGTATATGCCCAAGAGACCAAGTTAGCTATGAAATGTGCATTTGTAGGGTCTTAGGTGTAGGCCTTAAGGCTCGCAATCAAAACTAACCAAGTACTTGAACATATAGTGGTTGGTTCATTGTTGCAGAAGTATTACAATTGTTATACTTTAATCACTTGAGCCCAAAGAGCAGAACGAACCCAGATAGGTGCCTTTGTAGAGCCTTAAGTATAGGCTTTGAGGCTTCCCATCAGAATTAATTCTATACTCAAGCGTTCTGTGGCAATCATAATATAACAGAAGTAAAATTAAGAAATAGGCTGATTACTTACGCCCTAAGTAACTTCGGACTTCTTGTTATCAAGGATTGTCGTGGATGGGTTAAGTCCACATAAAGTTCTTTTTTATGCCTTGAGACCAAAGACTTTTGATTGATAAATCTTGTATGCCCGAAAGGTTAGAACTTAGATCTGGTCAAGCTATGAATGCGGATTCCAACTTTATCTTTTGCATGGTTGGGCACCATTAAACCGACCAGATCCAAAAACCAAGAAGCCTTTTAATCATAAACTTGCTAGAAATAACTTGGATACAGATGGAAATATACATCATATTACTAGATTTATGAATGAAAAGACAGAACAAAGATGGTCGGGCAAGGCTGATCGTCTTGCAACTTTCTCTCTTTGTGATTTACAAAGGGTTTGAGTGCTAGAAGGGGAGATTGGGAGATGAGTTTACAGGAGGGAATCGATACTACAACAAGATTCAAACAAGGTGACAGAGCTTTTACAAAGGCTTTTGGTGAGGGTTGATCCTGAAAATGATGAAGGCTTGGTGCTAATTACAGCTTCGTATGCAAATCTGGCTTGAGCAGAGTTTGTGTATTTTTTTGTTTGATTGAGTGTCCTTATCTCTGATTTCTCTTTCCCTTTTTATAGATGATTTGGCTTGGCTGCCTGCAGCATCGATCTTGCCCGAATGCGGCTGAAGGGTAGTGACTCATCAACTTTTTACTTGTACTGCCATTGTAAAACACTTTTGGGCTGATTAGCTGGCTAGTCTACACCACTTGACTTCTAGGTAGGTGAGCAAGTGGCTCAAGTGATCTACACTTAGTCGGGAAGAGGGCTTCTTTCGCCTTCTGGGCTTCGGCTGAGCCTTGGGCTTCCTTCCTTCTATACCTTCTTCTGGGCTAACTCCCTTTTGAGCCCAAAGTTCCAGTTTTAACCCAAACAGCTGGGAATGGAGATGGAGCTGAAATTGATGTATTACCTCGCCCTGGTAGCTGTTGGAGTCAGTGTATTGCTCGAGTGGTATGGATGGAGGGGAGGGTGGACGTGGGTAGATATTAGATAATTATGCGTTTCTTTTTGCTTTGTTGTACCTGTGTTGTTGCTGCATTCTGGAATTTGAACTAGTTAAGGGCTTTGAGTCCGAATGGGGTAAGTAGCAGCTCTTCTAGCTCTCTATTATATATGATTTTGTATGTAAATTTTCAGTGCGAACAAAAGACCAATCATTAGAGTAAATTTTCTCACAACCAAAGAGAGAGTGAGAGACGAGGGAATGAGTCTTCCGGTGCAAGGGTGAATGCCCTTAACAACTGAACTATATATAATAGCCTTTTGCACCCAAGATCTCATTTTAACTAGTGAATCATTAACATGAGACTGGTTGGCACGTTTAATTACGTATGTTCATCAAAGATGTGTAGAGGGGGTCATGGTGGCATGCGTTGTGCTTCGCTTGTATCTAGGAGGTTTGCAAGCAAAATATATTGGCTCATTACATGGAAGGATCGTTTTCGTCTTATCGACAAATAACAATTTGACACATGCATGAAAGCTTTTGTCATGTTCATTTTCATTTTTCTTTTGTCAAATATAAGGGAAAATTGCCAAACTGAAAACATTAAGCAATTCAAACTCCTCTAGGCTAAGATGATCTAGTTCAACAATTTTTTAATTTATTTGGGATGTTCTACTATAGGAATTCAGTTAATTAGACTTGCTTCTTCGTTAATTAATTCGTCTCAAAGAAACAAAAATGTGTGCTTGATCCAATAGAATTAGGTGTGGCAAATTTGGGTAAAAATTGTTATGTTGTTTTAGAGGAAAATAATTTAAGAGAGTGAGAGAATTCTATTCGAGAGTTTCATAGTAGTGTGTTACAAATGTGAGGCATAGCCACCTTTATATAGTGGTGTGGCTATCCTAGAAAATTACAAAAATAACCCTAATTCAATAGAAAGAATCAATTGACTAACATTACAACAATTATACCAATTAGTGGACAAAAATAAATATCATGCGACTTATACCAATTAGTGGAAGTACATAAATATCTTGCAACATATGTCAACTAAATTAGATTAATTAATTTTAATTTGTGGTACTCTTCTCTTCCACCTTTGGAATAAGAAACAATGAAATGTCTCATGTGCATCTGGTGAGAATTTAAATAACATATATATTTATTTTATTTAGTAATGTTGACGATATTACAATAATTTGTGTAATAACTGAAGATATTCATGCCCAGCAAATCGGCACGAAGAAGAATATTATTCATAAATTAGATACACGTAGAACAAATTTGGTAATGTCTAGCAAATAAGATTAGCAGTAATCAATGTTGATAATTCCTGCCACCGGGTTAGCAATTTTGGCGAAAGCCGGTTGAGAGAGGTCAAGTGTGGATTGACATCCAGGACAATGATCAACGATCTTTACTCTAACCGTCGAGTTGGTGCATGGATGTGGAACTGGATTTCGAGATCCAGTGCATTTGACGTTATAAAACTTTCCACATCCAGCACCATTGTTCCATATGGCATCACCTGCAGCAGCGATCAAAATGCCTTGTGGTGTATTCCCGTAGCATGCTGAGGCTGTAAAAACAAAAAAGATATCCACCTTTGATCAATTTTCCTTAAAAAGGTCGAATATTGTTAGTTCTACCTATATACAGTTTATGAAAAGGACATTTCGTTAATTATATTTAGTTCGTGTTATGTCATATTTATATACAATGTTTTCTTCGTCTCCAGAAGCTCAATATAGTGGTTCAAAGAAAAAAGAAGAGTGAAGAAGAAAGCAAGCTAACGAATATAGCTTGAGTAGAAAGTAGCAATTCCTGGTGTGCCTACTGATGCCCAGATAAAGCTTGCAACAATGCATAACACAACTAAAATGTTCTTCGGCATTTGTTCTTCTCTCTTACGTTGTCAAAACTCAGATAAATATTATAACTTTATTCTTTTCAAAAGAGTTCATGCGTACTATAATACGTTGGTATGGTCACATCCCTTTATATAATGGATTGTATATTAATACAATACATGAATGCTAGGCATTTCTTCAATCGAACAATGTATTTGTACCAGAATTTTTATTGGATGAGATGTACATATACCACAAGTTTTGGAAGGACAAAAGTTTAAGGTATTCAAATTAATGTAATTCAATATTCTAGAAATACCATTTATTTACTTTTTAATAATATCCTTTATATTGGTTGCTTTCCATTTCAAGTTTTTGAGGCTCCCATTTTTGGTAATCTTTAAACCTTTGAATGAAGATAATGATGATTTAAAAATAAAAAATGAAGGAATTTTCTATTTTCAAATTAAAGTGTTTAACCAATTTACGTAAGTAAACTTTAAAATTTTGTAGAGAGACGAGTGATATGATATTATTAGTTATGAATTTTTATATTCGATTGATGTGAAAATTAGAATCAATATCTAATCTAGCAAAAAATAAATTAATTACCATAAAGAAGCCAGAGATGTTGGACCAAATAACCGGTCACATATGAGGATATGAAAAATGGCAATCTCTCAAAATTTGAAAGTGGGTGTTACAAATCACCTTACGCGAATTAGCGATAAAGAAACTAGAGATAGGAAAAAACATATATGTTTAATAGGCCTTTTAAGGCAATTGGATTTAGGGTTCCGTACATTTGTTTTCATGTGTGAACGAGTGAGATTTAACTATACGATTTGTTTAGCTAGAGACTAGAAGCATTCCAATCCAATCCAAACCTAACATGAGCCCATTTGAGAAATTAATCTAAGATGACCCTTAGCCCAAATGAATATGTACGACGGTGTCATTATTGGATGTCGTACGGTTCCATCCTTGAAAAGTTGAAAATTTGGGTGGGGTTGTGTAAGTGGTGTGGAGAGAGAGAAAAAGAGGAGAGAGGAAGGCACAAAGCACCCACTTTGTTTTCATCGAGTCCAAGAGTTGGAAGTGGAGGTAGGTCTCTTGGTCTCCGTCTCAGAAGACTTGAACACACATAGTCTCCCTCTGCACTCGGATCACACAGAGAAGCAAGGAAGAATGTCAGGCGTCACGAACCAGGAGGAGGACAAGAAGCCCACCGATCAGTCCGCCCACATCAACCTCAAAGTCAAGGGCCAGGTCCCCTTTCTCTCTCTCTCCCCCCCCCTCTCCTCTCTCTCTCTCTCTCTCTCTCTCTCTCTCTCTCTCTAGGTTTTGTTTTTGTTCATGGAAATTATGTGTTAATCGTGATCAGAACATACCCTACAAAATTGGGGGTTTTTTTTTTTGAGTGTTTAATGAAGCATGTTTTGTTCTTCCTATGTTTGATGTCTGTCTTACCTTTGTTTGTTTTTTTTTTTTTGGTTGTGCCTGAAATTACTGTTCAATAAACCCTAAATTGACCTTAATTTCTCAATATTTTGGAGATTTTACTATATGCGAGTGTAAAGTTTGCTGACAATGGATACTTTGGTGCACGTTGTATGTGAATTATTGTTAATGCTGGAAATGTATTGGTTTTGGTTATGTAGGATGGGAATGAAGTGTTTTTCAGGATCAAGAGAAGTACCCAACTGAAGAAGCTTATGAACGCATACTGCGACAGACAGTCGGTTGAATTCAACTCTATTGCATTCCTGTTTGATGGCCGTCGTCTGAGAGCCGAGCAGACCCCTGATGAGGTTCGTTTCTTTATCTATCTCCCGATATGTCAGTATGTGTGTGAATTTTTTGACTTCTGACTGATTATTGTTCTTCTCCTGCAGTTGGAAATGGAAGATGGGGATGAAATAGATGCAATGCTGCATCAAACTGGAGGTTCTTTTGCCTAATCAATGAATATAGAAGGTTGTTTTCCTAGTAGGAGCGAAGTATATGTAGACTTTAAACTATCGCGAAGGCTGATGTTTGAACTTTGAGTATCTGTCAACACTTTGAGTATCTAGATGTTTGTCAGTACCTGGCAATTGTGTGTGTAATAAGTATGGTGGTATTGTTTCAAAGTATATGAGGTATGGCTTCTGCTTTACATTCTCTCTGTGTGGCCTATTCTTTTTATTCTTAGCACTAATATCTGGCTGTTCTTCATGTGACTTGTATTTTTTATGTGTGTGTCCTGAATGGTGGTCTACACATTTGTGAATAATGGTTAAAGTTTGATCATGAGGGAGCAGATGGATGCATTTTGAGACCTCTCTGTAACAAATCCTTGGCTGTCAATTGACTTGTCAAGATGAAATTGTTGCTTGACATGTCAACTGCATGCTGAATCTTGAGGATGATCGTCGTGGGTGAGTAGTGTTGGCTTTGGATATAATAGCATGAATCACATTAAAAATCAACAACATTGTGACACGAAAATGTGTCATCATTGACGTTGATGAAGTGTTATTTGCATTAGGAACCAGTTTGTCCTGTCTAAGCTTCTCTGGTGGTCAGGTCATCTTAGGATGTTAGGGGTCTGTTGGGTTCCTAGGTTTGAAGTGGATTGGATAACTCATGAAGTTCAAGGTATGTTGAAGGTGGAGGTGATCAGACATGAAGGAAACAATTTATCTCATTTCTTCCTTCGACATTCCTTGAAGTACAAGGAGTTAGCCAATCTATTCGATTACTGGACACCAAACAAGCTCTTAAATTTGAGTGTTTTTGTAGTTCTCGTGTTTAGCTTATTGCATTTGCTTGGTATGTTTGACTTGTTTGACGTTTATCAAGAATTCGCTGAGGACTCAAAACACACTTTCTGTTCAACATCGAAATATATATGAACTTTCATCTCTGCAACTCTCTGTACCACGTTAACCAGCTTACGACCATCGATTGTTTCCAAAATTAAGGGGTTGAGAGTGGCTGCATCTAACTGGGTGGACGGACTGTGATGGTTGCAACATCCTCTCAGGAAGACGTTGGCCTATTGCCAAACCAGGGGACCAAAATGGGGAAGGCATATCCCATACTCCACCAAGTTTTCTTTTGTGCAGCAAATTATGAGTGCGACTTTTGTGGGGGTCATTTTCCATTTGATGTGAGATGGAATTTTCTAGTCCAACTCTTATCTCTTATTCCATGTATTCACTTGTTACTTATTACAGGCTGTGAATTAAGATGCACCAGCTTTCCCATTTTAATTGTCTATTAGATGGATATTGCACTTTTCAAGCGTGTTACAAATATTTATTGATTGGTAACGCCATTGAGACTAAATCTTGGTTGAGTTTGATCAGAACCACTTTGGGTGAAAAATTGGTGTGGTCGAGACTAGTGTCAAATGACAATAAAAACGAACATCTACATTAATATCAACAAAAAAAAATGTTAAAAGAGGCAGATTGGCTCAAAGTCATCCCACTTATAAACACCATGTTGTTTAAAACGAAAATTAATGAAAATGGCTTGAAAACTTTGAGTTTTAATAATAAGGACAAAATAAAGGGTAAAGTGAATAGTACCAGGATTGACTTTTTAGTGTAAAAATGTGATTTTTCGTTAAAGTGAACAGTACTGAGTGCTTTTCGTTAAAGTTCTCTTGTTTAAAAGCAACATAGCCACATCGTGGAATGAGATCTAGTCCTGATCGGAACTCTGAGAGATCCAGAGCTTTCAAGAGAAAGATCTGTTGAATATTTAAAAAATATAATATATATATATATATATGTTTGACGGAAAGTTGGGTTATCGACCCAACAATTATATCTTTTCAAATTAGCATTGCAACCTTTTTGCTAATACCTAACGGTTGCTGCATGTTTTACAACATATATGACCTTTGGGTAATTGGTGTTTGTATCAGATATGTCCATTGGACATAATGCTGCAATGTGTTGTATCCCATGGTGAAAAGACATACTCAAATCAAAGGATGTGTCCAAAGGGTGTAATTCTCTCTATATATAGTGGTGACATTAGTAGAAAATGATCATTCAGAAATTTGTTGTCTACATAATTTCTTTGCTCTCTTTTCTCTCTACATCACATTCATACAATTTCTTTCTAGTTATTTCTAAGGGAATATAATTCGATTTTGCTAATCGAATATTCCATACTTTGTTGTATCCTAGAAGTGATTTGCCAAGAATCCTTTAGCAAACTCATTCAAGTGGGGGCAAATAACACTTTAAGGAAACGATTTAAGTCGTACCTCAAAGTCATTATTCGGATTATTCTCCATAATTCTACATTTACTCTAACAATCTTAAAGTGTTATTTTCGTCATGGATAACAAATCTGATAACATAGCTTTGAAGATTATCAATCAAGATGTCTACAAGTTAGACAAATTTGATGGATCAAATTTCACCCGATGGAAGGACAAGATGCGTTTCATGCTTACTGTTCTAAATGTTATATATGTGTTGGGCCCGAAATTGGAGCCTATTTGTGAACCAAGTGACAAAGACTAGGACAATATAGTTGTCGATCGAAAGAAGTGTGAAGAAGATGAATTGGTATGTCGAGGACACATCTTGGGCACATTATCTGATCGTTTATATGACCTGTATGAACACATTCAATTTCCAAAGGAAATTTGGGAAGCACTTGAACACAAGTACACAATGGAAAAAAGAGGTACCGATAAATTTTTAATGTTCAAATATTATGAATTCACTATGGTTGATAACAAACCCATCCTAGACCAAGTTCATGAATTATTGGTCTTGGTCTCAAAGCTTCGTGAACGTAAAATAGTTATTCCGGATCCTATGATAGTTGGGGCTATTATAGCAAAATTACCCCAAACATGGAATAACTATAGAAAGAAACTTCTACACATGGTGGAAGATATTAGTTTGGAGAATTTGCAAAAGGGTATTCAAATTGAAGAGGAAACTCGAAATCGTGATAAGAATTTTACAAATCAAGATTTCTCTAAAATTCACATTGTCGAAGGAAACAAATATAAAAAGAACTTCAAAGT